GGATGCGAAAGAAAAAATCAGAATATTTATTTAATCTTTCATTCTTTACATAAAAATTTTTTCCCTCCTAAAAATTAAATTTAATGAAAAACTAATATATCATAGAATAATTGTTGAAATCTTTCATCATGAACATTGAACATTTATTAAACAAGGAAATTTCAATTTACTTGTCATCTTCTGAATCAGCAACAACCTCTACTATTAGAAATGATTATAATAATAATGTTTCTACTATGAGTATAAATTCCTCAAATGACAACAATGAAAGCAAATCCGCTGATGAAATTAAGAGTAAAGCAGTTACAACAGAAGAAGTTAAAGTCAAACCAGTTGAATCACAAAAAAACCTTGAACTGAATGATAGTTCAATAGTGGTATGTAATATTATACATATACATACATATACATATACTCTATCTTATATATAAATATTTGTTTTATTAATTTTTAATTCATTTATAAAATTTTTTCCAAGAAATTAAAAACTTACCAATTCAAATCAAATCAAAATAATTTGTCACTTTATAAAAATATTCAAGAACATAATGTTTCAACCACCTCTATCAATAATAAATTTGGTAATTTTAACACTACTGATATCAACACTATTGCTCATGTGAATGCTTTTAATCTTGAATCTAATACTGCTGCTGCCAAAACAACTCCAATCACTACTACTGATGATAAATCTAATACAGCATATACTGTAATTAATGCAAATGTTGATCAAAATAGAATTTCCACTATGCTCTTTTTAAGTTTTATAACTCGAAACTTTCTAATAAAAAGAAAAAAGTAAACTGATGGAAATGAAGCTTAGGTCTTTAGCTTTAATTCCATCAGTTTTTCTTTTTCTTTTTTAATAAGGAGTTATAAGCCTTCAAAGCAATGTGATAATCTTTGACATTATAGATGGTGGGTGTCCTGCACTTATAGACTTTGCGCACCATAGAATATTAATAAAAAGTATGGGCACACAAAAATTTACTTAGCCTCGTGTTTGGAATTTTCAAAAACTAGTTGATAAGTTTTGAAGCTTGTTTGAGTCATAATAAAATTCATTGGTTAACTTTTTAAAATGATATAAAATTTTTTGTTTATTTTGAAGCTGGCCTATTGTTACTATATTGACGATC